TGCAGCAGCAGCAGCAGCAGCAACAGCAGCAGCAGGAGCAGCAGCAGCAGCAACAGCAGGAACACCAGGTGGTCAGTGTCTGGGGGATGGCCTTCCTGCTGCTGCTGATGCAACGGCCCGCCTGCTGCAGCAGCGGCAGGCGGGGCTTAATAGAATCCTGGAGACGTGTGCTGCTGTTGCTGCTGCTGTTGCTGCTGCTCCTACTGCAGCAGAAGTCTCTGCTTGTCTTGCTGCTCTCCCCTTCAGCCGAGGCCACTCAGCTGTCCCCAAATGGCCCTGGGAACAGAAAACTGCAGCAGCAGCAGCAGCAGCAGCAGCAGAAGCAGATGCTGCTGCTGAAGGGGCTGCCGCCAGCGAGAAACGCGCGGACGAGGCATCCCAGCAGCAGCAGCAGCAGCAGCAGCAGCAGGGTGGATCTGTGGGCTGTCGCACTCGGCTGAACTTCCTGGAGGACAGCAGCAGCTACTTGTGTTGGTGTTCGAGTGCTGTGGCGGGGATGCGTGGCAGCGTGAGCAGCAACAGCTGCTGCAGCAACGGCAACAGCAGCAGCAGCAGCAGCAGCAGCAACAAGATATCATATGCAGCAGCATCACCTGCTGCTGGGGGCCTCAGCGAGACGAACTGGTCCTGTGCTACAGGCCGCCTCTCTCACCCAGGGGGTACAGGCTGCGGCTCCCCAGGGAGTTGCTGCTGCAGCAAGAGGTTGGCTAGCAGCAGCACGAACAGCAGCAGCAGCAGCAGCAACAACATGCACACCATCTGCTTCAGCAGCCCCCATGACTCCAGCAGCAGCAAGACCACTGGGCTCCCCCTCTCTCTAAGGAGAAATAGATATAAGTTAGCTGCTAGGTCTGTGGTGGATTCTATGGGGGGCAGCAGCGTGCTGCAGCGGGCAGACATCAGCAACAGCTGCAGCAGCAGCAGCAGCTGCTGCAGCAGCAATTCCAGCAGCAGGAGAGGCAGCAGAGGCCCAGCAGATACCACACCCTATACCAGTGAAGGAGATACATGGATGCAGCAGCAAGACACCAGCTCCTGCCCCGCCTCTTTAGTTTGTTCTCCGTTCGATGCTGTTGGCTCTGCTGCTGCTGCTGCTGCTGCTGCTGCTGCTGTTACTCCACCCACTGCAGCAGCACTCGCAGGAGCAACTGCTGCAGCACTAACCCTGGCAATGCAAGAAGCTGCTGCAGCAGGCAGAGGGGCCAAAGACACGCATCGACCCGGGACGCAGCAGGCGCCTCGTCAGCAGCAGGACCAGCAGCAGCAGCAGCAGCAGCAGCAGCAGCAAGAGCTGCAGCAAGAGCTGCTGCAGCTACCCTGGGGGGATGTGGGTGAGACGCAGGCCCCCAGACAGCGCGAGCCGCATCTCCACATCCCCAGGCGTGTGGCTCTGGCGCTGCACTGGCTGCAGGCATTGACCCTAGCAAGCGACACCAGCAGCAGCAGCAGCAGCACCAGCAGCAGCAGCAGCAGCAGCAGCAGTTGCAGTTGCAGCAGCTGCTGCTGCAGCAGCGTCGCCGGCCTAGAGGGCGCCGGGTGTCTGGCTTCTCTCTGGTCAAAGCAGCCGGAACAGCCGAAGCAGCAGCAGCAGCAGCAGCAGCAGCAGCAGCAGCAGCAGGAGCAGGAGGAGCAGCAGCAGCAGGAGCAGCGGCTGCTGGAGGATGATATGGACTTTGTGTGTACACTGGGTCAGCAGGAGCTGCATCTGCTGCACTATACTGCTGCAGCAGAAGTGCTGCTGCTGCGGCTGCGAGCAGCAACACAGGGGCCGCTGCTGCGGCGACAGGCACTTGTAGCTCTTGCTGTTGCTGCTCGAGGCAGCTCCACCCCTTCTCCTTGTCCTAGTGTGGGGCAGCAGCTGCTGCAGCTGCCGTATGCATGCGGTGATGTGTTTGGTAGCCGTTGCTGCAGCAGCAGCAGCCAGGCACTCAGCTGCAGCAGCAGCAACCGCGCAGATTGTGCTGCTGCTGCTCCTACTGCAGCAGATATCACCTGCTGCTGCTGCAGAGGAGCGAGGCCCCTGCCTGCGTGCTGCTGTCTCTGTCACTCAGCTCCAAACCCTCGACACCTGCTGAACAGCAACAGCAGCAGCAGCAGCAGCAGCAGCAGCAGCAGCAGCAGCAGACAGCTGCACTCCTCCAGTGTATGTGATGTTCGGCTCCATCAGCTGCAGCAGCAGCAGCGGCGGGATCGCTACAGGGGGGCCCCGCTGCGGTGTATGAAGTCTAGCCCGTGCATGCACGAGCTGCAAGCCATCAGCAGCAGCAGCAGCAGCAGCAGCAGCAGCAGTGGGTATGCATACAGCAGCAGCAGCAGCAGCAGCAGCGGGAGAATGCTGCGCGGAGGAGCACGGAACGAAGCAAGTGAAGAGCTGCTGCGGGAGCGGCGGCTGCTGCAGCTGCTGTTTATGTCTTTTGATAGAGACGGGGACGGGCTGCTGTCCTATAGAGATTTTGCTGATGGTATGCTTTCTCTGCTGCTGCTAGCAGCACTGCTGCAGCAGCTGCTGCTGCACTCCGATGAAGATGCAGCACAAGAACAAGCAGCAGCAGCCATCGGCATACACACCCTCATCATGCACCAACAGCAGCAGCAACAGCAGCAACAGCAGCAACAGCAGCAGCAGCAGCAGCAGNCACCCTCATCATGCACCAACAGCAGCAGCAACAGCAGCAACAGCAGCAACAGCAGCAGCAGCAGCAGCAGGAGCAACAGCAAGAGCAGCCAACCAAGCAGCAACAACAACAGGAGGAGCAGCAGCAACCGCAACAACAACAGCAAGATCAACAGCAGCAACAGCAACAACAACAGCAGCAGCAGCAGCAGCAGCAGCAGGAGCAGGAAGACATTTGGATAGGTTGGGTATCCGGCTGGTTGCTGCTGCACTTTGAGCTGCTGCTGCTGGCAGCAGAAATAGATGGCGACGGCAGCGGCTCTATTGAGCTCTCGGAGTTTCTTGCTGCTACTCTTGATGCTTCTCTCCTCACAGCACAGCCTGCTCTGCGCAAGTCTGTTGCTGCTGCTCCTGCCGCTGCTACTGCTGCTGCTGCTGCTGGTGCTGCTGCTGGTGCTGGTGCTGCTGGTGCTGGTGCTGCTGGTGATGGTGATGGTGATGGTGATGGTGGTGGTGATAGTGCTGTTGCTGTTGCTTCGCTGCTGCTGTTTCTGGTTGCTGCTGTATTGTGTTTGCTGCTGCAGTTGTTGCTGCTGTTGCGTGTTTGTTGCTGCTGCCACTGCAGTTGCTGCTGCTGCAGCTGCTGGTGATGCTGGTGCTGGTGATGCTGCTGGTGATGCCGGTGCTGGTGATGCTGGT